TTCTAGCACAAATATAGAATCTACAGAAAAATTACTGGGTTCGTCCGAAACCATGAACTCCCACCTAGCTCCACCCCAGCCTTCACATTTATTTAATCAAAGGTCTTGGGTTCCAACTCCTACTACTTCACTTTTAACCAGAGGTGTCAGACTCGAGCCCTGAGTATGGAGAAAATTTTGTTGGAAACGTCACCCCTGAATGAATCCTAATGCGCAATTCAAATTTTGTGTGGGCTCGAGACATCGGGTAGGAAAAAAATGTGTATATATAAGTGGAGGTTAAGGATTGTGACGTTGGGCACATGCATGGTCAACAAAATACCAACGAGCCGGCAATATAAGAAAAAAGTGGTTATTCACATTACCATACGCGTTAATCGCATAAGGATAAATGGGTCCATTGGATTCTTATTAATTAAAAATATACACGTGTTCTCACATTTTAAATTTTATAATAGAGTCCATTAGTACTATAATGAGTTCGAGAATTATTTAAATAAATACCATAATTTACTTATTAATTAAGAAATTTGATTAGAGCGGTGATTATTTTAGAATATTAAAATAGGTCTCAGAAGCATGAAATTAAATAATATGGCTCTGATATAGCTTCTTGAATTCATAAACACTTATCCTTAGACATGATATACTCAACTCATGATAATTCCTTCAAAAATAAATTGTCTTCAATTATGTAATTAGGGGTGGCAAAATCAAACTCAAACATGTTCAATTCGTTCAATCTGTATAAGATTGGGCGGGTTATTGACCCACCCACTCATTCATTAGTTCAACTCATTAAAAATTGGGTTGATACGTAACCCGAATTGGCTCATGAAAAATCTTATCAAAATATTTTTAGAAAACTTTTTTTTTTCAATTTGGCATGTTGTATATAGCCATAATAAAGATTTTTTTTTTTATTAGGTACTAAAATAGTTTAAAAGAACAAATAAAATAATTAAGCTTAGTAAAAATTGGTTTGGATTGGGTCTTGACACGCAATGTAAATCATTACCTAATCCATTTTGACCCAAGAAAATTTGAATTAGATTGAATTTTGACCTGATTATTGTCTTAACCCATTATGGTCCGTTCAAATTTGACCTAACCCATCCAATTACCACCCCTAAATGTAATATCAATATGTCTAGATTTCCCATTGTCTAGTTTGTTGAATACCTTAGACGTAGTTGTTTCACTATCACAATGTAAGAGGACGGCTCACTACTCTATATCTAGTAATAGATCTCTCAATCATTCCATCTAAAACCCCTTGTCTTATATACTAAATTATAAGTTGGATCTAATTGAACCTTTAAAAAAAAGCTCATGAGTTAGTTTTGAGGTTGAGTTATAGGTCCGAGATTCATTTCTTTACATTTAATATCAGAGCAGGATTCATCTCACTCGATGTTGGACACTCAAAAGTAAATTGTCTACACTCCAGATGTACAAGCCTAGGCATGATGTGAGGTTAAAGAATGTAAAAGCCTCACATTGATTATTAATGAGATGAGTGGTCTTTTTATATGGACTTGATCAACAATCTTAATTCCCATCCTAATCTAGTGCTTGGTGTTAAGTTAGGCGCAAGATTCTTCTTATACCATGAATTAATTGTGTATATATATACATGAAATATTATGTCATCTATTATTTCGACTAAATTTCAATAATATCATTTTGTTAAATTTAGTATTTTTTTTATTAATCATGTGAAATGCAAGTAAATTTGATAGTCATTATCCTAAGGTATGTAGTTTGGTTTACTATCATTAGCCCTACATGGTTTATTCAGAAAGTCAGCATCCCGTGAATATTTCTTATCTATTACGTACGATTTTCCTCTAATAAGCCAAAAGATTTAGTAATTAAGCCATATCTAGTGAGCTTAACTAATATAGTATATTGTCGGTGTAAGAAATTTTTATGATGACTTATTATAGTACATTACTTATCTTATTTTCAAGATTATAATTCTTATACTTTTAAAAAAATCACTTATAAATATCTTTAAATAACTTGATCATATGGTTAATTTTTACATTAACGATAGGAATTCCAACCATTTGTTTAATGATTGCATATCGTAGAAATCTTACAGATTGTATTGATGATTAAAATGGTTAAATACATGTTCCTTATCACGGGCTGACCTACATAGAGTCTGCCGGGTGCTCAAGCACCCATTAACCTTGTCTCGATATATATATATATATATATATGTAGAAATTAAGAGGTATTTGTATAAAATTAACATAGAGCACCCAATGAACAAATGATCTAACTGGTCCATTGACTCTTGGGTGGGTGCTTAAGGCTCTTTTAGTGTTGTTAAGCCCGGGTTTGAATCTTATTGTTAATATGTCTTTTTTACATTTTTTATTTCGCTACTTTCAGAGCACTCACAAGCCACAACCTTAAAATCCTAGATCTGCCATTGCTCCTTATATAGGAGGAGAGTCTTAGACTAGCTATATTTAGAGTCCTACTACAATATAATTAAATATAACACCAGTATAGGTTTACGACTACTACTACTACAATTATAATAACTTTTCCTAGGTTTAGCTAGTATAAGACACAACAGCCTAGTCGACATTTAATTAGTATTTAGTAGCTCAGTCCTAGTGTAGCTCCAACTCTATAACAGTTAACAATTGTACATTTGTTGATTGTACCTTGTTGTTCAACATGTTCCATATCATCAACTTCTTTTATCTTCAACACATACTTCTATTGAAAAAAGAACTAATAAGAAGATTGTATCAAACAAATTGAAACGACGAAAGCGAGTAATATATATCTTTAATTTACTTGTTAGGTATATAAGATAAATTTGTATATATTTCCCAAACGATGGTGTTGTTGATTATATTATCCAGAAAAGCAACCAATTATTGAAGCTCACAAAATGAGATCTACCATATTTTAGGATTCTTTCACATAACACAATCAATAGTCACAAGACAAATAGGTGGATGATGCCCATCATTTTCTTTGTCTACGCAGCTTTTTTTGGCATCATTTGTCACACAACAAACTTTCTCCAATTAGAATTATCGACGACGACTTTCTCATTATTTATAAATGCTTTACATATATAACATAACAAATAAATGCAAATGAGTAGTGTGGACCAAAGATAAACTTTGATATCAGTAAATTAGGTGGAATCAAAATTTTCACTAGAAGTTCGAAATGTAAAACAAATATATGAAAAGATTAAAGGTTCAACATCTATCATATATATAAAAAAAAATAAAAATTCTAAACATATGTAAGTGATGTAATTTTTCATTCAAGAAAGTTCGAATAAAATCTCTGGATCCTTGCTAGTTGCTAGCTCTGCCCCAAGTTTTTTTTCTCTTTTTTCGTCCAGTGTTCGGTACCGATATTGAACCCTGACTAAATCTGAATTCGCACTGAAAAGTCTCACATTAAGAGGTAAAATGCTCCCTAACAAAAGTCACGTCATATACAAGGGGAATCAAACTCAAAACCTCTTGGGTTAAGATGAAGGAATACACACCACCACAAGTCTAATATATATATATATATATATATATATATATATATATATATATATATATATATATATATATATATATATATATATATACACTATTTACTTGAAAGAAATAATAATGTCCAAATCATTGTCAGTGCAGTCAATATAGTATATTTTTATAGATTGAAGACATAATTGTATTATTGTCTTTGGGACCACTGAGCCGGTGGTCGTGTTAAAATATTAGAAATATTCTTTTTAGTTATTAATTTCCTTTTAGGTTTAGTATTTACATCAATGCTAAAATATGTATTTTCTTTTTTAGTTTTAAAATATTCTAAAATATTTTTAAGTGTAGGATCTACATTAAATATAAAAGATTTTTTTTTGTTTTGAAGAAATTAAAATAATATATTTTCTTTTATTTTATTCCCTTTAATTCTCTATAAATAATGATGTAATTTTTTATGCAACAATTGAGTTTTTATTTATTATCTTTTCAATTTTGTCTTCCGTTTCTTCGATTTCATAAAAATGATATCAGAGTCGCCATAGATCTTTATGGAGCTGTGAGTACTGTTAAAAACAAAAAAAATCAACCATTTTTAACTAGTGGAGACTTTAAAAAAAAAAAAAAAAAAAACTTTTAGGGCTCATTTCTAACCTGGAAGGTTTAATTTTAATTCTTTTAGGCTCTCCGTGCCCAATATGAATGCATCGCATCGGGCTCCAATTTTCAATTATGCCACCTTTTAATCACACCAAGCCACAATTTCTTCTCGAATGTCCCACAAAATTTCATGGATAAAAACTATCAAATTTGGACAGTTAAGAAGTTTTATCTTCAAGTTTGTTATGTTCTATAAAAAGTTGTAATGGAAGATAAATCTATACAAAGATGTTTTAAAAATTCTGCTCTTGCCCTAACCAAAGTTCACTTAAAAGAGAAGATCAAAAAACATAAAGTCAAATTTGTAATTCAAAATTCAGCTACAAATTCATTATTACACATGAGACAACCAAAGAAATTTGGGAAAACTAAAAAAGGAACATGAAGAATTTAGAATTTGAAAAGAAATTTTATCTCTTAGAATACAAGAGATCGAGACTATCTCTAACTACCTTCAACAAAATTTCTTTGATTGTCAACAAAATATGGTTATTTTGTGAAGATTTTGAAGATAACTAAATGGAAAAATTCTTGTGACTATTCTTAAGAGATTTGAATTCAAAATCTCCGGTTTAGAAGTCTAAAAGTTTTTCTACCATATCTTTCGCATAATTAACAAGTGTTTTTCAAGCACAAACTTAAGGAGAAATTTTCATACAAGATAAATTTATTGAAGATATTTTACTAGTGCAAAAAAGTCTATTATTCTCCTTCCAAATCCTATAAAGAGACAACACACTTAAAAAAAAATTGGTGATGATTTTGTAAAAGTTGCAATCAAAAAGATCATATTACAAAAATGTGCTAGTAAGACCCTCAAAACAATTCAAGAGCTCTTATAACATACTAATTATGATTGCACCAAATTAAAGTGTTCAAACCCAAATTGGATACACCAACTTGAATTTGAAGGGAATGTTAAAATATTAGAAATATTCTATAATAATTCCTTCTTGATTTAGTCTGAAAATATGGACTAAATATTCAGAATTATTGGCATCAAAACACCAACGCATATCAATGATTATCAGAGGTTTCCACGATATTAATAGAGCTATCTTGACTCTTACCTGAGATTACATTGTAATGTGGAACATATTCTGGTGCTAAAATTTAATACTCTACAAAATTTCTTCGATGAACAGCGGCTCCAGATGCTCTCCAAGTTTATGATACACAAACGAAGTTGGATGTAACGCTGTCCAGATGAACATCCCGTCTTTGCTCTCTGAATCATTTTACCTTGTTCTTCAAATGTTTGTGCAAACTTGTTCCGTCAAACAAAATTTCTACAGTGAAAGTGATGAATTGTCACAGTTGTACAACGGAAGTTGGTCTTCCGTTGTACAAAGTAAGAAACACACCTTAAAAATCACACATAGTGCGACAGGAGATGAGATGTAGAACACTTCAATCTGCAACTCTGTCCCAGGTGAACATCCCCGAATACATATCTGCATCATTGTAACCGGGGAAAGGTGGCCTAAATACACAAAAGGAGAATATTTTGCAAAATTTAATTTGAACATTCTTACCTGTATTCACAATGTTCAGACCATGCACATCGAGCTTTCCCGTAATCCCAATAGCAGTCCTCATCCCTCAGAGGCCCACGCTTTGCTTTTTGTTGCAATACTTACAATGTCAATAGAAACTCAACATTTATAGAAGAAAATAGTGAGGAATCAGACACCACCTTTTGTAACAAAGTTAGACTTTTTATCAGGATGAATATCATGCCACATCTCAAGCCACAGCTCCCGCATCAAAGCTGAAGATCTGACAATGTTCCTGTGATTTGCTACCCAAGAAAATTTACAGTCATCAGATCAAAGATTGCCACGAGGTGTAAGATGTCTAAGCTTGATTCAATATCTTATATCTAGAACAATCCAACATTACCAAATTCATTATATGCAATTGTACAAGATCTTTAATATTGCATCATATGGAAGCTGAATATCATATATGCTAGATTGGGAGTTATACATGGATGAACCATGTCTTAATTATGTCCAGTATCAAATGCTTGCAACTGTCTTAAACTGATGAAGAACTCAGAAAAGTAATATTCGTCAATGGAATTGGGCAAGCTCTCAAAACATGCTACTCAGGCAAGCTGGAAATTCCAATGTCTGCTTTTTGAACAAAAATATAAGTTTTCGCCCAAAAACTTAATGATCCAAGAACAAAATGTAGAGGCAAACTTGTTCAATTTCGCATTGTTAAGGGGAAAATTTGGCCCTTTTCCCTAAAAATTAGGAAAACAGAGAGGAAAGTAAAGAAATAATAGGTGAGAAATTTCACATCATAAAAGAAGAAAATAAACTGCATTCCGAAGCTTTTGGGTATTTAACAGGTAAAGCACAGCCACAAATGAGATGTAGGAAATCAGACAGTGAACCAGAAGAAATAAATGTTTATTTTCTAGCCAACAGAGGAAGTGAGAGAGGGTTAAATAACCAAGAAATTCCTTTAGGAAACTTAAATAAGAAAATGGAAATTGAATATATCAGATACCTTTATCAAGCTCCCAAACTGCTGTTCTCGTTCCTGGAAAACTTTCAGAATCCTCATAATAGGTTATGTACTTCATTGTAGGTAACTTTGTCATATTGGGAATGATATCTTCACCATGTTGATGCTCTATATTTTGATGCACTTGTACATCTGAGCCATCATGCTCTGACTGATGTTGTCAAAGACAGAGAGTAAGATAGACTGCAGTTGCTGGTGAGTAGCCAATATAAATGCTCAAATCATTCATAAGCAAGCTTAGCAGAAAACTGGAGAGTATGAGGTCATGTGACTACATTTTCATGAGTATGTTATGTTTCACACATGAAGTCAATTAGGTGAAAGGGATCTAATGAAATAACATTGCATAGCTTGGTTATTTAGGCCCTCGATCCGAATGAACCATCCTTTCCAAGAAAGTCCATCTTTGTTCCACGCAGGACGATTAATTAGGATTGAGGACCCAAATCATTCAGTTGGGGGAGCTGCCGCATTGACCTTCTCAGACCCTGACTGTCCAACCTGAGACCAGATGAACTGCTGAACTGGAAAAAGTTGGATGTAGTTCTAACTGCACTCAAAAGTAGGGCTGTTGGGACCACACTAACACTGAGAAATGGACTGTTTTGTAGAAAAAGGTGGGGATCTTTAAAATGTATTGCATCAGACGTTCAAGTATCTGAGAAATTACTACAATTGTCAGACATATCATAATGTATGCTCTTCTAATGTGTCTGTGCAGGATGGTGAGATTGTGTTGGAGCTGTTTTCATACGCTTAATATGATCAGAAATCTTCCCCATAATTAGTGCAAGTAAAGGAGGTAATAATGGTTGTGGTATTCCAATTTGACTGAGAATGAGATCAAACAAAATATCAGATACCACTTACCAGTTTAAAAAATAAAAATAAAATTCAGATACCAAAAAGGAAGATGGGTGATTTGGCCTTCAAAATCATACAACAGAACTGATCAGGGGAACAATGGTATCTTAGATAACTAATACCTATTACAGTGATACCTGTGGTGTCCTTGTTATGTTCACTTTTGGCCCCAGCCAATTCTTGCACCAGGAGAGGGAATGGTATGGCACCTGCGAATCTGCTTCACTTAATAAAAAAAGAATCCCTTGCTTGTACTCATAGTCATAGATATGAAAGTTATCATAATCAAACGGACCTGTTTAAGTTAAAAATTACACTACTTATGTCAGATTTTTGCAGCTAACTCATAATTCTAATATAAACGTTACCGTTTGTCACACATAATATAGTGAAATTTATTTCACATCTTAAGACTACAATTATCTAAAGTTCATTTTAGACATATTTACTTACCATATGTAAGTAGCCTTGTACTCCTATACAAGAAGCCACTTTAGTACATTGTCAATCAACCAAGCCAATGAGTCTTTTATGTTATTTCTTCTAATTGCAGGTTAAAGAGGGAGGTTTGTTACAGTAATCCAACTAAAGAGAGCTTTATAAACTTAAACATGCATGATTTTATCGTTCATCATACCGTCTCATCCCCACTTGTTGCACCCGGGTATCCTTCAACTAGATTTCCTGACCTAAAAGGAGAAAAAAATGAGATACTGAAAGGGATCCAAATGTTCAAATAGTCAGTGTTCAATCAATGAGAGGAAACAAGTTAACATATATCTTCTCAATGTATAGATTAATATGTACAAGCAGAAAATAATCTCATATTCAATAGGAAGAATGATCAATTAAGTATCATACATAATATCATACTCAACATTGTCTGTATGGAAATTAAATACTAGGACTAAACTTTGGAGCTTGGGGATTTTAAAAGAAGGATACAATGTCCTGCATGCATTATTCAAATTTACATAAATCATGCAACCTAATCCTCTATTTTATTTTCAACCCTTAAAACTTTCTGTCTCAGTGAAGCTGTGAAAGACCCCCATGACATGGATGAGGAAAAGAACATGATGAAGTAAGAGCAATAATAACAAGTGAAAAACCATGTTCAGATGTGCTATTTAGAGAGAGCTTTTCAAAATATGCTATCAAGATGCAGAAGTCAAGTTACCGGGAGTACAGAGATCCTTCGATTTCATATATCACATCTGTTATAATCCAATTATCAGGATAAGGCTTCCCACTTGGTGCAAAATAGTAACCAACCTGCCATTCAACATGAAGAAACCAGAAAAATATTCAGGATCATATATTGATTGAAGAGCATAACTAGAAGAGGAGAATATAATCACATAGAGGCAAGTAATGATAGCGTGGACAGAAGACTAAAAGTTAGGGTCTATTGGAAGAAGCCTCTCTACCCCACAAAGGTAGGGGTAAGGTCTGCGTACACCCCACCCTCCCCAGACCCCACTTGTGGGATCATACTGGGTATATTGTTGTTGTTGTCGTTGACAGAAGACTAAAAGTTATTAAGTGGGGGTAGTAGAGGTAGACAGAGGTTGATTCATAGAGAAAAATAGAAAACTTGGGGGAACGCTATAACTCGCTTGTTTCATTTCCTTTTCTTTTTCCATATCACTATTTCTTCAATCAGGGTCATTCGGAAACAACCTCTCTATCTCTGCGAGGTAGTGGTAAGGTCTGCGTACACCCCACCCTCCCCAGACCCCACTTGTGGGATCATACTGGGTATATTGTTGTTGTTGTCGTTGACAGAAGACTAAAAGTTATTAAGTGGGGGTAGTAGAGGTAGACAGAGGTTGATTCATAGAGAAAAATAGAAAACTTGGGGGAACGCTATAACTCGCTTGTTTCATTTCCTTTTCTTTTTCCATATCACTATTTCTTCAATCAGGGTCATTCGGAAACAACCTCTCTATCTCTGCGAGGTAGTGGTAAGGTCTGCGTACACTCTACCCTCCCCAGACCCCACTTGTGGGATTCCACTGGGTATGTTGTTGTTGTTGTTGTACTATTTCTTCAATCATCATCTTTTTCTTGCTTTTTTCTTCACTCTCTTGCCGCAAACAACAGATGGATATGAATATGGCAGCAAGCTCTTCCTTTAGAAAATGAAAATGAAAAAAAAAGAATGGCAGCCAAAATTTTCAAGAAATCAAACATTCTAGATCACAGCTAACATGACATGGTTGTAAATAAAAATGTGGACTTTCTGTTTCTGATTTCTTAAGCCCCAGATCAAAAGAGGCCTCTTAAAAAATTTCAAGTCAGAAATTTCAACAGAATACTTAAAAGAATTTGAGATCCAAACAGATACTTCCGTCACAAAGTTTCCATGTGAAAGCAATACGGACAAAGAATTATAACAGACATGCCTAGGGTGATCAACAACAGACAAACTTACAACCTTCTTGCTGTAAGTTTCATATATAGTATTACTCCACCTGTAACATAATATGCAAAGTTTGAAGGCTAATTCAAGGGTTTCTAGCCATCCTATCAACTTCAGATGAAGGGTCATCTAGAGAACTATTTTTTTACTTTAGGTTTTGAAGAAGTTCAGAAATCAATACAATAATGAATTCTCTGCTAAACGAGCGCAAAAAAAGTTGATTTAGTGTGTGTGCTGATTTAGTGCAAAACAAGCAATACTGACACTTGAGAAGAGAAGAATACCTACTGCCTAATCATCCATGTTAATATACATATGCACAATAACATAATGAATTTCAAAACTGGATGAGCAAAAACTTGACACTTGAGAAGAGAAGAATACCTCAGTCTTCGAATCTACGCCATAAATGCAGAATATGTTCTTGAGGGGTGGTCTTTCCCAAGGTGTTAGAGGATTTAAAATCGGATCATCATGGTAAGACCTGAATTTTAGATGGCAGAACATGGTATAGCTAGGAATAGTTAGCAAAGAAATAAAGAAAAAATAAGACAATAGCCAATAACTCATGGAAAAACAAAAAGATAAGAAAAGAAAGTATGCACATGATAAGCTAACATAAACTACTTCCACCATACAATATTCTTTTAAATAAAGAGAACTTAATCGTTGACCAAGTTTTATTTAGTTACTGTATCCATCTGATATTTACAACCAACTTAGGCTAGCTTGAAGATCAAAAGAAGTTCGAATAAATACAACTGAATTAGCATAATAACATTGATAGCACCCATTTATCCTCGGATATCATATTTCTCCGTTTGGTTTCAAAAATTACAACCGCAAACTCTGGTTCAATACTTTATACTAGAAAATTTCAACTATTAGTAAATGCTACTCTCTCTTTATATTTCAATTTTTAGTTAATCAATTTTTTCTCGTTAACTTTATTTATATAGGATTTTGAATTGATTTTCAATTTTCTCCATATAATTTCCCGGTGAAATGGATTACAGCGACCTGCATAACTGATTAATGATAGTTTTGGAATAAAAAGTAGCAAATAAATACTCCCTTCATTTCAGTTTATGTGACAGCATTTCCTTCTAAACCCGTTGCAAGAAGAATGATAATTGTCTAAAACAAATTTTAAAAATAGGTTTAACTTAAACTTCTCGTTTCACCCTTAATGACAATTTTTTTCTATAATAAGATAGATATAGACAAGCTCTTATAGGCTATAGCCACACAAATGTTAAGGCATGTTTAAGATCAAAAGTTTCAAAAGTCTTATAAGTCACTCAAATGTTAAAGCGTGTTTAAGACCACAAGTTTCAAAAGGCTTCATTTCTTTCTGGAACTCCGTGCCCAGTCAAATTTTGCATATAATTGAAATGAAAAGAGTAATAAATTATACAATCAGTATTCAATGATCTATCAAAAATAAAACTTTTAAATGCACTATTCTAATAATTCACTGTGGCACAGTAGATACCCTATGCAACAGTGTTTAGGTTGAAACTGTAGTTATGCAATTCATGATAAATTTGGTGTCTTTAATTGATATATAGGAGGTGTGAGAGGTTGGTTATGGCAGGTACGAGGAGAGGTAGAGGAAGGTTGAAAAAATTCATTTCCTTCAACGAAAAGCTCAACTATATTTTGAATTTATTGAATATGTTACATTATAAGCATCAACGACACTATCATTTTTGATGACCAAAGCTTTTAACCAATACATCAAGGAGACTATCTTCTTATCACATTATCTGAAAATGTTGCATGGCATAAAAGGATTTGTAGATTTGATAGGAAGCTTGTAATTGCTCTCTTTTGGAGGTGGCCAGCATAACCTTAATGCTGATGAAGGCAATTTACCAATTTCAAAACAAAAAAAAGAAAAGGATTTGCTGTTATACTCACTTTTTTAAAAGGTGAAAGAGTCTTTCACTGTCAGGATCATAATTCTTTATGGCTTTGAAAAAGGTTCCGTCAGAGACTTCACGAGCAGAAAAGGACAATTGTGTCGGGAATCCACATTCCATTCCAGACAAGTTGGTTTGGGCAGTTTCTACAACTGATGGATAAACCTCATTCCCTGCTAAGACATATTAAAAGCTCATTAACACAAGTTATGCTAAAGACACAACATGCTTGTTGGCCTTTCGGTCATACCTCGAATCGAAGGAACTTCAATATTGATTATGTTTGTTGGCCAGCCAGAGTACTTCGATTTAAGTTCATGCTCATCGCAATGGTAGGCATGATGGTATTTTCTGTTTCCACCAGAGAAATGTCTCCGATATACATTATCAGTTGTACAATGTTTTGAAAATGGTAACATCCATATAGAAGATCCAAACGTATTGAACATCAGGCGAGCTGTCCCCTGATAACTTGGAAAACATAGGCATCATATCTATGCAGAATTGCAGATATTGAAAAGCATAAGACAAACTATAATCTTTAGACACTCCAAGATAATGAACAGTATCACACATATTACTCAATGAAGTGCAAAAGACCTTGTAATAAAAAGAATAAAAAGTAATCAATCTTTAAGAGAAGAACCTAGTTTATGCGAGTCATGTACTCCAACTTTTTTCTTTCCTTTTTTATTGTGGCCATGTCACTTTTACTTAAACATGGTGAAAAATGGGGCCTCTCCAAATTCCATCTTCTTCTTTTTGAATGGAGAAGTGTTACGTGCTATTTTACAAAGAACAAACACTCTCCTGTTTGTCACCAATCTCTTGTGTTTAAAAATATTACAGGAAGAGAAAGAAAACGAATGGGGAAACACTCAAACTAGGTGCACACAGAGAAAGAAGGGGGCAAAAATGGCAAGTACAATGCATAGTAACTGCAGGAACACTGGAACAAGTGGAAGGAGCATCCTCTGTTATCATAACATCCAGATCCCAGACATTATTTTCCAGACATCCTCTGTTGTCTCTATATCTTCACCTGCCTATATCTCTTCCAGAATTTAGTTGTACTTTTTGTTGTTGAAAGCCTATGAACTTCAGAATTTTCCCTTGATTTTCCCCATAGTATAGGTACTGCTTGTGTTAGTTTTATCATTGTGTATTAACTGGTTTGTTGTATTATCTGATTGCGTTTAACTTACTTTAGCTTTAGTGTCCCTGGTAAAATATGATAGACTAGGATCTTGTCCTTGGTTAGGGTCGGGGGCAGGGGTGGGTATGGGATTAAGGAGGCTTACAGACTGAGAGTAGGGCCTTGGAACATAGGAACTTTGTCCAGAAAGTCCATTGAGTTAGTGAAGATCCTTAAGAAGAGAAGATCAATATAAACTGCATTCAAGAGACAAGATGGGTAGGTTCTAAGGCTTGGGATGTGGACGGGTTCAAACTTTGGTACTCAGGAAGTCCGGGGAACAAGAATGGTGTAGGCATTCTAGTAGATGGAGACCTTAGGGAACAAGTGGTAGAGGTTCGGAGGGTTAACGATTGGTTGTTGGTGATCAAGCTAGTCGTTGGAGGGATAACTTTGAAGGTCGTTAGTGCTTATGCTCCATATATAAGTTTAGACGAAGAGGTCAAGACGCGTTTTTGGGAGGAATTGGATGCATTTTTGGGAGATATGTCGATCACCAAGAAGGTTTTCATTTGCGGAGATTTCAATGGCCACAATGGGGCAACTCCTAGTGGTTTTGACAATGTGCATGGCGGCAGTGGTTTTGGGGTTAAAAATCGTGGTGGAAACTCATTCTTGAATTTTGCTAGAGCTTTTGAGTTGGCGATAGCTAATTCGTGCTTTCCGAAGAAGAATGATCACTTGATTACCTTTGATAGCGCGGTGGCTAAAACTCAGATAGATTACTTGCTTATGAGGAAAGCCGATAGAGGCCTTTGTAAGGATTGCAAAGTTATTCCGAGTGAGAATCTTACTACTCAGCATAAGCTCTTGGTGATGGACTTGGAGAATAAGCGAGGGGGGAAGAAGAAGTTATATGTCTGGCCTAGAGAGGGCGGGGTTGACACCCTCTCCCATGTAATTGGGGATAAGTTGACGACGGTGGGAGTTTGGAGAAGTAGTGGGGATGCTTTCGGCATGTGGAATAAGAAAGCTAGTCGCATTAGGGAAGCTGCTAGAGAGATGCTAAGGGTGTTGAAGGCTAACTTTGGTGAACACCAAGGGGATTGGTGGTGGAATGGAGAAGTTCAAGGCAGAGTGGAAGCAAAAAAGGTTGCGCATGTGAAGTGGGTAGACTGCACGGACGAGGCCGAGAAGTGAGCGAATAAGGGAATATATAAGGTGGCAAGGATGGAGGCTAAGTTAGCAGTTACAACAGCTAAGAGAACAACTTTTGAAAGACTGTATGTTGAACTTAGAGACGGAGGTAGAGATAAGAAGTTGTACACGCTCGCGAAGGCAAGGGAGAGAAAGGCCTGAGACTTGGATCAAGTGAAGTGTATCAAGGATAAAGAAGGCAAGGTGTTAGCGGAGGACATCCTCATTAAGCAAAGATGGCAAGCATACTTTCACAAACTTTTGAACGAAGACTATGAAAGTTTGGGAGAGAGTGGTGGAGATGAGAGTGAGAAGTGAGTGTCTATTGCCGAGTATCAGTTCAGATTCATACCAGGGGAATCGACCACGGAGTCACCCATCTTGTGAGGAGATTGATGGAAAAATATTAAGAAAGGAAGAGGAATTCACATATGGTGTCCATTGACCTTGAAAAGGCTTATGATAAAGTTCCAAGGAAAGTCTTGTGGCGATGCCCGGAGGCAAGAGGTGTATCCCTGGCCTGTATTAGGGCGATAAAGGACATGTATGAAGGAGCTAAAACACGGGTAAGAACTGCGGGAGGAGACTCGAAGCATTCTCTGTGGAGATGGGATTACACTAGGGGTCAACTCTTGGTACATTTCTATTTGCCTTAGTGATGGATGTATTGACGCGAGACATTCAAGATAAGGTGATGAGGTGACATAGTACTGATTGTTGAGATGCGCAATGGAGTTAATGCTAAGTTAGAGGTGTGGAGACAAACTCTGGAGGCTAAAGGGTTCAGGTTGAGCCAGACTAAGACAGAATATGTGGACTGCAAATTCAATGATGTGATGGATGAGGTAGGCATGGAAGTGATGTTTGACACAAAATATCCCCAAGAGAGATAGATTTAAGTATCTTGGGTCTATAATTTAGGGGAGTGGGGACATTGACGATAATATCATACACTGTATTGGTGCAGCGTAGATGAAGTGGAGGCTTGCCTCTAGATTCTTGTGTGATAAAAAAGTATTGTTGGAACACAAACATAAGTTCTATAGAGTAGTGGTTCGATCGACATTGTTGTATGGGACTTAGTCTTGGCCAATCAAGAACTCCCATGTACAAAATATGCATGTTGCGGAGACGAGGATGTTGAGGTGGATGTGTGGTCATACTAGGAGTGATAAGATTAGAAATGAGGATATTTGATAAGGTTGGAGTGGCCTCCGTGATGGACAAGACACAAGATGAGGGAAGCGAGACTGAGATGGTTTTGACATGCAAGGAGGAGATGCATAAGCACACCGGTGAGAAAGTGCGAGAGGTTGGTTATAGACGGTTTGGACATGTGAAAAGAAGATGCATAGGCGCATCAGTGAGGAAGTGCGAGAGGTTGGTTACAAAGGAGGAGAGGCAGAGATAGGCCGAAGAAGTATTGAGGAGAGGTGATAAGACATGATATGATGCAGCTTCAGGTTACCGAGGACATGACCTTAGATAGGAGGGTGTGGAAGACACATATTAGGTTAGTAGGTAGTGTAGTGTTATCCTGCTTAGGATGGCTAGTGTTTGCAATGGTACTAGTTGTATTATTTCTTGTTTTATTTATTTTTATCATTGTTTATTATTGGTTTTTAATTATCTATCCTAGTATGTTTTTATGGTGTTTCGATTATTGCATGATTTTATTGTTGTTTTGGCTCCTCTCTAGTAGACTTTTGCACTATTTCCTTGTTATTTTCTATATTCTCTTAATTGCCTTTTTCTTTATACCGGGATTTGTTGCACTTGAGCCGAAAGTCTTTCTTAATCAGTCTCTCTACCTCCACGAGGTAGTGGTAAGGTCTACGTACATTCTATCCTCCCCAGACCTCACTTGTGGGATTTCTCCGGGTATGTTGTTGTTGTTGACTTGCCGTTTGAGCCCTCTTTACCTTTCTAATGCACTCACTCTCCTATAATGTATATGTAGACAATATGGTGACATAGGCACCAACGGAGAGGTTGTCCACCAAAACACTGAAATAGTTGTCAACTACACCGGACATCACTCTTTTTTGCCTAAATAGAAACAGAATCGTGAGTTCCCATTTTTTGGCACAACTCTTTCGAAGTGAAGGTAATGTGCGTAAAAAGCTAGGAGAGAAAATGTTCTATCACACAATTTTCTCAGTTCGTAATTATATGTCCAAAGAATATATAAAAATACATTATACACACACATACAACATATACGTATTATTGTATATGTGTGCGCTGTGTGTATATACTCATTTTTTTTAAAATTGGTAAATTGTATTCATTCAGCATTAAGGCTATGCTGGCCAGCTCCAAAAAGTTTACAAAAAGAAAAGAGAGATACTTACAAAGAGCCTATAAAATCCACTAGTTGGATTTCCTCTTCTATACTTTGTTCTTTACACCAAAAACCTAGTGAAGTAATAACTTTCCACTTAATCTTCAAAATAGAGGATTCTTTTCCTTCAAAGATCCTCTGGTTCCTTTCCTTCCAAATGGTCCACCAGATGCAGGCTGGGACTGTCCTCCACCGTCTTTTTTGGCTTTTGCTTCCTCCTCATTTTGTCAGTATTGACACAACTTAATTCCAGAAATACTTGAACTAACAAATTAACAATCACAACAATCTTGCTACTTTACAAACAATGCTTATGTAAATCTTTAAATGCAGTACAGCAAAGTTTGGAGCTTCAAGATTTCAGGCAGATAGAGGCAAGTCAAGAGAAACCGAATACGCCTTGAGAATCTGCCGAAGAAGTAACCTTCTTGAATCTACCAGTATATGTGGCCAGCTAGAAATTAGAGGGTTAAGAGGCTCTTGATTTCCAACTTTTACGAACTAATAAGAATGTCCAGACTTCAACTTCTATTAAGATTGCTAATTTATGAAAACAAATACTATAACTTTTTTTATAGTTAATGAAACAAATACAATAACAAGAAACTTTCAAACAAAAAAAATCAAATTGACAGCTCTTTGGTAAATAAAAAGGTTGTCTCTAAAGCTCTCCAAGGAGTTAACAGTGCCTAGAATTTCTGTTGGAAAATTTATAGATGGGGAAAATATAATATCAAAATAATAATACGAGAATTAAGATAAATACTATTACAATAATATTCTTAAGTAATATATATAAATAATACTTGAGTCGTGCTAGGCACTGTCCTAAGAAACTATTTCAGCAGTGTGAAATGTTTCTCCAAGATTAAACAAGCCTTCTCTAATTAATTAGAGGATACAAGAATCAACAAAATATAAATACTACAAAATAAGCAGGTCGGAAGAGGGTATTTTGAAATTGGTTGTATCTTACTACTTCACTTGGTTATATGCCCTCAAGACTACATCAACTTATATATAGGAGAGTTTAGGCCTTGAAGCTTGGAGAAGAGGATAACATTACTTGGAGACAAAGGGAATTAATACTTGGAGGCAAAGGAAATTAATACTTGTTCATCAAGTTGATGGCATATGCACATTAGTCATCAACTTAATGACATAAGTGCTTAAGTCATAAACTAATAGAGTCCAAAATATGTCTCAAAATATATTTTAAAATATCCAACAATTTCAATATCTGAACTGCACAACCTAAAGGTCCTAAACAGGTATAAAGGTAGCCTACCACATTGGAATTTAAGTTGGATTAAAAAAAGTAAAACCTCTGAAACAGGAAGACCAAATGTAGACCCCGATAATGTTGCTTTGACTGTCTCGATAGCACCAAGAAGAGGAGCTCCTGAAACCACAAGAAAGCAGCGATTCCAGATAAGGACCAATCCCTAATTTCTGAGATAAAACTGGAGGTCAAATAGTATTTTGGTTAGCAAAGGCATACCAACAGCAAAATAGGCATGAATGTGATCGTCTAACCATCGACCATACTCTTTTGGAGCAATCTCTAATTTCAACCACTCCAAGAAGTATCTAAAGACATTGTTACCTAATGAATGAGCGAAAACTATTGAAGGTCCACCACGAAGTTTAAGAGCAGTTTCAAAAGTTAGCCTGCCAGAAAGAAAAAAGAGATCAAAACCCCACAATAAATAGAACACATTTATCAGAAAAAGTACAAAAGGAAATACTTAAACACCCAAACACATAATATGGCTTGGGCAATCCTCACCTCTTGAGCTAGCTTTTGAGGTTCAGTTAGGCCCAAGATCCATTTCTTAATATTTTCTCCTAAATTTCTCACAGGAGTACAGAGATAAAAGGAAGAAAAAGAAAACTGTAAAGTCCTTGTGTTTTCGATGGTCATATATTCTTAGATATTTGACGAAGGGAAATTCCCCATGCATTAGGAGTAAGCAAGAAGAACTTGTATTGGATTCAAGCTCAGATCTTCAACCATTGTAATAAAGTTATTATCTTGCTCATAGCTAAAAAAATTGCAACAAAATGAAAGAAAGAAATGCATGATTCTACTTTCCCCAGGGAAAATGGAACTGGAAAGTTAGACTTTTCTATCAATTAACTCATCATTTGCACTTAGGAAAGGAACTATGTAGTGAGATCATAACACATATATCTGAATTTAAGGCACAAACAATATCTCGAAATACAAACTTTAGTTTGTGAAAGTAAAGGTCTCTCTCCTCAAGCTTTGATGGAGACAATCTCCAGTCATATGGAGCTGCGATGATTGCATTAGCCTCAATACCAAATTCTATGCACCATTTAATCCATTCTTTCCACACTGATGACAAAGGACCTGAACACGAATGGAATTTGGATCAAGTAGAGAACCAAAACAAGTTAAAGAATCATCAGGTATAGCCCCTACAGTAGCGACAATATCTATGAAAAATTGTCCTTCACTGACCAGTCTCTGTTTATGTCAATTTTATATGCAGTATTCTTTAAAAAATGATGACAGTAGAATCCCTGCTAAATGGTCTCGACAATCCAAGAAAAAAGGGCAGCACACAAAGTTCATGGGTCTCAAACAAGAAAAATGGCATTGGAGTCGTGCATTAAGAGGTTTTCCCTATTCAGTTCCACGTCTCACTAATTTAACAAAATTAAAAAAGGAAAAGAATGTGAACTCAGAAAATGCAGCAGAAGGCGAAAGGGCCTGGTGAAATACACAAACAGTTGCCACTAGTTTAGAAAAGTATCCTCCACTTATTGATTTGATGAAATCATGAGACCCTGTTCTAACTTCTTGGTAGCGTTCTGGATCTAGAGGTGTTAAAGAAGCCAAAAAGTCATACCAAACTGAGAAACTGATTTGTTCTTTAATTTGGTACTATTTGGTGTTAAACATAAAAAGATAATAACATTATGTTTGATTTATTATTAAGAAAAACAACGCTAAACCAGACCAAACCAACAATTTACGTATCACTTCGTAATTTTGTATATACAATAACATATTTCTTTTACATTATTTTTTTTGATCAGGAACATATTTCTTTTACAAATATATATATATATATATATATATATATATATATATATAATATATATATATACCTAGACCTTTCCTCTAAGTCTGTGGTTTTTCCCCTCTGGCCTTTGGTTGCTTAAACATATGAATAAACATGAACTCCCACTATAGCGATTAGATGCTTGTTTTGTTGTTCTTTAGTTTAGTTCTTTTACAACTACAAGAATAGCTGAACATGGTTGCTGCAAGGACTTGATTAAGCCTGCATATGTTGTCATCCAGATTCTGTTCGCGATGGAAGTAAAGACTTAGAGGGTGTTTGGATTGGCTTAAAAGTTGGTCAAACATACTTAAGTCAGTTTTTGATTTCTGGAAGTATTTGGCAAATATAAAAAATAACTTAAAATAAGTTGAGAAGTGTTTGGTAAGGTCAAGAATGACTTAAAATAAGTTTAAAATGACTTAAAATAAGTCAAAAACCAAAAGTAGATCTGCCCCTTACTTTTTTATTTTTTGAATTTAAAAGTCATTTCAGTGTGTACTTTTTTATTTTTGACTTAAAAGCTACTTTTTTAAGTCACTCCAAACGGAGTATTACTTGACCTTAACCAAAAATTGAAGTTCCACTTCTTTAACAACCATGTTCAATCAAATTATACATAGTGTAGTAAAAAGGAAAACTTTGGAAGGACAGGGAAAAAACGCATTAAACGACTAAATACTGGAACCTGTAAAATTCATTTCAGACCTAGCTGGTTTGGTTTTTTCAAAGGTAAAATTGGCTCAAAGTTTCAAACTAAACAACAAAGGCCCTATCTAGACCAGTGTTGTCAAAGGCAAAAGTGTAGGATAACGCCAAGGACTCATTGAATACTAAGATAAAGCACAATTAAAGCGTGCATTGAAGGAAGGTGCATATAAAAAGAAAAAATGGGTAAACACATACACAGTAGCATATTAAAAAAACAGAAAAAAAATTAAGTACAACCACAAACAAGAATTATATGGATAAAGGAATTGAAACAACTATAATTAAGTAAAATATCTGAAGTAAAAACAGTGTTAGTATTTTCATTTTTTCTTTATAAAGCAAGTAAAAACAAGTGTATCAAGCTCAAAAACCAACAAAAGAAATTTATTAGATGCAACAATGCAAATTTTAAATGTCTAATTCAAATCGATCAACCACTATATTCTACATTTTCTATCTCTATTTCTCATATTATGTTTCCTAAGGTTGCTTCTGTGAATATTTTATTGTTTGGTGTAGCTCAAGACAGTAAACTCAGTGGTCTCGTAAGTTCTCCAGATATTATAAAAAGAAAGCTAGTTCGATGATTTTTGCTAACACATGCTTTAGCACTTGGTGCCTACTGAAGCACTGCCTAAGCAAGGCAAAGTACTCAGCCGGCTCTGCGCCCAGATTCATGTGGCAACTTAAGATGTTACCATAGAAAAATCAGTTCAGTTTCACTTCTGTCTAATGGAGGCCTAACATTTTGAATTCCTTATTCCAGTTTAATAGAAGTGCAAATGATAACGCGAGGAGAATAAATCAAGAACACCTGTAATATAACCAGGATCAAGCTCCGTTATAGCAGAAAGGCCACTGTCAGGTCGAGACTTGCACTCTCTGTGATCTGTTTGATTGTAAGGATCCAACATCATACACTTCAACCAGCAATTTACAGCAGAAAGAAGCTGTAAGAAAGATAAATTATTGACTTACAAGAAGTTAATACAAAATGTTACTACTTTTGTATCACAAAAGCAAGATCCAGACTCTAGACAGTTGTTTTGTTATGACTGCAGAAAAAGCAACATCTCATGAATGGTCTAATATCTAGTAACGTATTTCCCCCAAATAGAATAATAAAATCAAAATCATATATTTCAATATTATATACCACAAAAACCAAAAGTAATCAAACAAATAGTTAGTTGGGATCGACTATATGAATCCTCTTTATCCATTCCGGATATTCAAGTCCATTTCATTCCAATACAAAAACAAATTTGTCTTTTACCAGAAATTAGATTATCTATATATCACACTTATCCCCAATTAATTGGTATTTGTCGTGTTCTACTCTTAATTAAATCTACATTTTTACTTGATGCATGAAATCTCCAGCTTTGCATAAAATAAACAGTGAAGAATATCAATATCTGGAGAGCTAATGTTGAAGATTTACTTTAGTGGTGTCGAGCCAGACTAAATCGAGAGGATTGAAATCGAGAGGAGAATAAGGGCAGTCTAATATTGACCATGCTCTCAGTTGTGTAGACGCGAATCCCGGGATGATAATTCCGGATAGCTTGGAGTAATCGCCGGCGAACTCACCGCAAAGGTTACCGGCGGCAGCTAGGAGAATGAAAGTGACGACGAATCCCACGTGTCCTCCCCTCATTGGCTAGAAAAAACTTGTTATAACTGCAACTTTTGGGGCGACTGACTGACTTTGCCGCTAGGAGTTGGAAAGTTTTCAATGATGCCTTTATTTTTTCTTTTGTCACGGACCAAAACACAACAAAAATACTATTTTGTCCGTTTATTATCCGAAATTACTCTATTTTGTTTTAGCCAAATTTTTGGGCGTTCGTTCATTTTAAAATATATACGTAATCTTTATTTGACACTTTAAACACATGATAGTTATTTTAATATTAATTGATATGGTAATCTAATCAATGGCGGATTTAAAATTTTAGGACGGTGAGTACAATTTATTTTTTTAACATGAAGCTATTAAAATAACTTTGTTTTAGGGAGGAATTGATTCCTCACCTACCAAAACTGAAGGCCTCAGTATTCACCTCTTAACCAATGCACCTAAAAATTAAACTAATATGTTGTGGGTGCTTCGTAGTAATATATTTCATTTCCTTAGTATTTCTGTATATTTATATATACTTTACGTTCGATTCATTCAGTACTAGAGCACCCACGACCTAGTATGTAGGTCCGCCCCAAATTTAATATGAATACTATGGTAATCTATATGGTAATTAATATGAATATTATGATAATCTAATCATTAGTTATTTCTCAAGGAATAAATGGAGAGTGTAATTTATTAACGAATCTTCTCATATTTAGGCTTACTATTAAATGAACGGTAATTGAAATAGGTATACGTGTTCGAATTTTTTGAGGAAATAAATCAAATTTATCTCTCAATTTTTAATTAATACTTTGAAATTACGATTAGATTTGATTTCATTAATAGTAAAATTTGACCAAGGTTTAATATTCTTTTCGTTCACTTTTACTTTTTCACTATTTCAAAATAAGTAAATTTTAGAAATAGCAAACATAAAAATCATATTAGCGCTCTATAACTACAATTTTGCTATAGAGCATCTGATTTGTATAAATCGCATTGATTTGTATAAATTGCGGTGATTTGTGTAAATTGGGTGTCTGTGTCTATGAAAATTATGTTTGTATATGTATATGTTCTTTGTGTTAGACTAGAGTGGCGAACGATATCAGGAGAGAGAGGAGAGAGGCGGGCGAGAGAGGGCAGAGAGTGGAGAGAAATGAATTGTGTATATATATATATATCGGTTAGATAATTGTATATATGTAACTACTATGTATATGTACCAACGATTGTATTTTTATATTTGCATAAAATTTGAATTTTTATACAATTGAATCAAGTTAAAACATTTGTATTTGTATATCAAATATCTCTCTCCCGCTTTAGACAAACACAAATTGTACATTATTTTTGTATAATGTGTGTTTGTATAAAGGAAGAGAGAGAAAAACACAAAGAAACTTGGGCAGAGGAAGATTCGTATAAGTATAATTATAAGTGTATAGGACGGAGATATATGTATTTGTATTTGTATATACAGTCTCTCGCTTTATACAAACACAATTTATACATTTGTATTTGTATAAAAGTGAGAGAGGCGAAGGAGAGAATTGAGAGAGGCGAAGGAGAGGATTGAGAGTGGCGAGCGAGATTCCGAGAAGAGATGTAAGAATGACAATGTGTTTGCTACGAATTAGAATTAAATGAAACTGTAGTTATAACATTTATTTTGAATTAATAGTTGTTACAATGCACAATTTCCCCTTTCAAAAATAAGTTCTTACTTTTACTTGTAACTTTTAATACATTAAGAAAAACAATTACTATATTTTTCATGTTATATCCTTATTATTAAGTACGTATTTTCAAATTATTTTCAAGATCTACTATTAAACATCAATTAATAGAGATAGTGTGGTAAAATAACCATGTCAAATATTATTTTCTTGATAGGTGTGTCAAGTTCAAATATAATACGTAAAAGTGCGCGGAGAAAATAAATTATAAAATTGTACTTTTTGAACGCGTGCATGAACAAGTCCAAGGAGATTTCTTTTTCCTCCAAGGTCCAAAGTAAGGATCTTTTGTCGTTTGGGCTTAGTTTTTGCTCGTTATTTATAAGAGCTTCTTCTTTACTACTTCTAGTATTTGTGCAAGGAAATTATAAAGTGTTTGACTTCATAAAGAGTAAGCTTATAACGACATCAACTACACGATGAAAGTGATTAAGTCAAGAAATAAGATATGTGAAGCTAAAAACCTCTTCGTTGTAAATCACAACCCTACATCCTATATATTTTCCTTAAAGGTCGATCAGTCTACACAATACATGAAAATAAAGTCTTCTTATATTACATGTCACCACATGTTTGTTTGCCTAAGTCTAAAAGTGTTCATAATACTCTTCTTCTGAGTCAAGTATTCATAACGTTTCACATAACCATACCATTTAAAACTTTTAAAAGTCACATGATATATTTCACATGTGTTTAAAAAGAAAAATAATTGGCCACTATATGACTGCACTTGCATATCATCCTCTCTCTCACCACTCTCCTCCCTTTATCTCGCTCGCCTTTCTCTTACTTCATCCTATTTCACTCACCTTTTTCTTCCTTATAACGTGTAGCTATGAATCGTATTTAAACAAACTATAGATATAAATATCTAAGTAAGCCAAAACTATAGTAGTATATACTAAGAAAGTGTTTATACATCAATATGGGCTGAATAAGGTGTTACATTATATACTCCCTCTGTGTCAATTTTTTTTTTTTTTTATTAGCAGTTTACAAATATATAAATTCCATTTCAAAAAATTTGAAGATTTCATACGTAAATTCCTAATCAACTTAAACGGTTGACTTTTTAAAAGGGAAAAATGTCATATAAATTAGGGGGGAGAGAAAGTAATATTTTATATCAAACTACATAATACAAATATACCTATAGCCAAATTTTTAAATTTTGAGACAGAAGGAAGAAGAAGAAGTCATAAAAAAATATTGAGGCAAACAATAGGAGAGTAGGACCAAAAGATGCCGGCAGAGGCAATAATAGCACAAGGAATCGTGAAAACAAAAATAATAGAGATATAATTCTTACCATTCTCCGTCTTTATTCGGCAGTTTCTAACGTCAAAATCAAAGCTTTTGCCCCATATTTACCAAAATTGCAATCATCACACACAACAAGCATAGCTTGTTTAAAGAAACAATATTTCCTCCAATATAATCACAACAAATTAACAAGCTTGTTTACACATGGAAACTGTTACTGTTGCTTCTTCGACATCAAGGTTTCGGTTCAGGGATATTCCCGCTGATGACGATTCAACGGATGCTCATTCCGCCTCTGATTTTTCCTCTGTTTCCAGTGATTTTGATGTTGATACAGAGCTCCAGTCCATGACTGCTAAGGTTTCATTTCCTCTGTCTCTTCTTTTTTTCATTCGGTGACCGATCACAAGAATTTCTACTTGTCTTTCATTTAAAATTACAACATTCAAATGTCTTCTTACTTTCTGTGCCAAATCAAAATTACACAAATAAATTGGAATAGGAGTATTGCCGTTTGGCCACATTTCATTGTAATTTTTTTTTAAAAAAAAAAGTTCTAGTTTTTGTTTACAAAATGAAATTGAAAATTGGATTTGTGTTTGATGATGAATACAAATTGGAGTTGTTTTTCAATTTTTGTGAGTGATATAAAGTGAAAAAAGCTTTTTAGTGTTTTCCAAATTTCTGAAATTCTGGAAGTTGAATTTCAAAATTTTATGATTAAACATGTTTTTTGGAGTTCCAACTTCAAGAAAAAAAAGTAAAAAAGGCCCATAGCCAAAAGCCACTAACTTGCTATGAGTAGTTACTTCTTGTTGTATATCATCCTAACTTGATGATTTATAAGAAAAAAAATTTATAAATGGGTAGTGCACAAAATTTATTAAACTTTTACTAAATGTGTGCCCATTACGTTAGGATATTTTTCTTTTAGAAAATTATTTTTATCATCCTTATGTTGCGCATTTGATTTTCGTTATGTTTCCATCATGTTGAAATCAATTTTTGATGAAAGAGAAAATGAGACTTGAAAAAAAGAAGGTATCTGGTTTTTATTTAAGAGCTTAAATTGTTTGACGTACTTTTATTTACTTAATTATGTCTTCAACACGTCAATCTTTGAGGAAATGTACCATTCTTTTAATTATGTTTGATTTTGCAGGGCATTACTCACCTTTGTTCAGAACTCCTTGAGTTGAAAAGAGAGTCCGAGGAAGATTTTCAGAAAATCATCTTCACAAATTACTCGGTATTTATTGGGTTAGTTATTTGCTCTATAAAACCGATGACAAAAAGATAATTTTTTATTACTCCGACAATGTGATATTTTCTATTTGAGGGTCTATCGGAAACAACTTCTGTACTTGTTGTCAAACCTCACTTTGTGAGATTTCACTGCGTATGTTGTTGTTGTTATAATGTGATATTTTCAATTGTTTTACCTTTTTCTCCAGTAGTCCTATCTATCAACACATCTTCCCTTGTTATCGAATGCACAAGACATATGATTAAGAGACTTAAAAACTGCTATACTGGAGCTCAAGGCTATAAGAATAAAGGGTATACGCGTCATTGTCTGTCTTGTGCTGCCACTTTAATCCAAAAATGTCAATACTTACAGTGTGCAATCCAATTAATATATTATCGCGATATGTATACAGCCTTCAGTACTAGATCAACGCGATTTTATGTCTTTCCTTGGCAGGATATTTGAAGGGACAAAAAATCTAGAGAGTGACTTATTGCAACTGAAGTACCAGGTTGCAAAGCAGAAAGGGCTCATAAAAGATCTTACAAATGGTGTTTTTCTAAAGTTTCTCGAAGAGGTGAAGACAGAGTCAAATCTTGAAGACAGTTTAACAGATTATACGTCTTTGTCCAGCATTATTGATGCTCACACAAACGAGGTTTCTGAAATTCTGGATGATCTTCTTTCAGAACATCAATTGGATGAAGCTATTTCTTTCTTGGAGAAGGAAGCTGAGTTCTTCAAATATAGCCAGTTGACGGAGAACCCTTTAACGGATGAATTGATGTGTTATAACTCTAAAATATCAGAAAAGACATCTATGATTGCAGATCAGTTGACAGTAGTAGCTAAGAATCCTCGCGTTTCTGCACCTGAACTGC